CCCCCCCCCCCCAATTTTTTGCTTGTATTCGCTCTAGAACATGTATAGATATAATCTTTAGAAAACCAGACATGATTTCGTTGCACAGAGAAGCTTCTTTTGTAGATTTTTTTTTTTTAAGACCTAACTCCCGCGAAAGAAAAATAGCAAAACTCTCATTTTGAGTTAACTGTTAAATTCATTCCTAACATCTAAGTGAAATAGCGTGCCAGATAAAAGGGCTTTTTGCTGCTGCCTTCGGCTACTGGGAACTGGCTCCTTGAACTTCGGGGAAAGCGCCTTTCTCCTAATGTCACCGGAGGGATCCTGGACAACCCTGGGAGCTATTTAAAATGAAAGAAAAGGGGTGTGTTGGGGGAAGCCTTTGATGTCGAGAGAAGGATGCGGTTAACGTGGCACGACAGTGTCTGGGCAGAGAAACCTCTCGGGGGCGGCCGGGCCAGCGCTGCGGCTGGGTCCTGCCCGCACCTGAGCGCTGCCCTGCAGAAGGCAGAGCTCGACCACAACCTGCCGGCTAATTAGCCATCAGGCTTTGGAGGGGGAGTGATAAGGACGGGCTCAGCCCCTCTGCTCGCCAGAGATCATCTCCCAGTTTGATTTGTGACCTCCTGCCTCTTTCTGTTTTCGGGGCCACCGTCCTTTCACCTGGAAGGTTTGTAATTACCTCTTCGGGGTGGGAGAGAGGAGCGACTGTGTGCGACTCCTTCAGCTCTTCCCGAGCCCCGTGTTAAAACACTTTCCTCTTTAGTGATCCCCACTCAAGCCCACGAAAAGCAAACTACCTGGCGCTAAGCCGAGCGCGGTTTCACGGCTACGGTAAGGCGCTTGTGGGGCGGCCCAGGCGGGTCACTGTCCGACGGCACGGACCGGCTTCCCTCCTGCCCCACAGAGCCGGGGCTCCGGGGTTCACATCCCTCCTCCCCGCTGCTCTGGCAGGCGGGATTGGTCTCTCTGCGCAAGGTACGATCTGCCTCCAAACAGCCCCCTCCAGAAATGAATCTCTCCGGACCTGTCTAACGTTTCAGACGCCGGTAGTTTTCTCCTATGCAAAGTGAGGAGGAATAAAAGTCAGGTGGAAATTACTCCACCGGAGTAAAACTATTTATGGGCGATGCCTGTTATTGCTGAAATATTTTAAACGGGGCAGTTAAAACCTTTTATGCCTGTGGCATGAAATAAGGCTCAGCCTGGCAGGCACAGACGCTAAGATAAAGTAAAAGGGAGGGAAAAAAAATACAAATCCTGATTGATGGCTGGGGTGCGGATGGCCCGGGGGAGGTGAGAGCCGAGCCGGCGAGGCCTCCCTCCCGCAGGGCGGGCTCGGGGAAGGCAAGACCCCGTTTTCCGGCGATTTCGAGGCAAACAGACGAGGTGGCGACAGCAGGCAGCCGCGGGCATCCCTCGCTATTGACTGGCTTCACCTGGGTGTTTGCCGGTCTAAACAAAGCTAACGATTTCCCCCGCGTTGTTTGAACGGGGCATCCCACGGCGGCCCTCGCCCGCCCTCGCCACCCCCGGGGCGGCACAGGGATGCGCCCCGCTCGTGCCCGCCTTTCCCTCTCTTCTGCTTTCCTCGTCCACATCTCCAAGCCAAATTGTCTCTCCACCGCTCCTACACTTCTCTCTTTCCTCCTCAACTTCACAGCCCTGCAAAGGCAGGGGCATCGCTCTGGCCTGGCCCCCATCCCGCAGCGCCGGCGTGTATCAGGGATGCCAGCCAGAAACAGGCTCCCTCCCGTTAATTCCTCCACGCCAATTAACGTAGACCCGGTGACTTTTTCCTGGTCCCCGGGGCTTCACTCCTCCCTTGCGCCCTCCGGAGCGGGGGCACCCGCGGAGGATGCGCTGAAGGTTCCGCAGGCACCTCTTCCCCTCCCCGGGGGGAGCCAGACACCAGGACGGCGGGTCACCTCCACCCCCCGAAATCAGCAAGGAGCTGGCAAATCTTGCACAGCTTTCAGGGAA